CCCTTTTATTAAGCTGAAATCTTCTAGCACATTAACTAAACCTAGCTTGGCACCTTCCCCATTTTCTCTGTCTCCATTTGGGAGACTGCATGCTTCCTTGTCTGTTCTAAGAGAATGTGCCATTCGAAGCATTTTTCCCCCCTGTGTAAAGTTTCCCTTTAGACTTAATGGATTTGTGGTGTTGGGAGTTTCCATACCAAAAAAGGTTCCTCTTACAGTTATCAGTTTATTGCCAGAGACTTGGAAGGTTATATTTGCAATGTTATTGAGGCACCAAAAGATGTAGATAAGTATGCAGTCATATGCTGCTTTCTGTTTTGCTGCGCAGCATATTGGATTTTCAGCAAGGGTCTGAAATCTAGACATCTTCACCTTCAGGATGATCATGCCGCCAATATGAGCAAGCTCTCCATTTTTCCAGTAGTAACCTCTGGGACCCACATCAGTGAGTATAGAACTTGCCCTGCAGGTTTGTACCGTTCACAGGAGATGCCTCATGCCAGAAACCCTACAAGCAAGGTTAGGTAAGGAGAGGGAAAACAGCTTGAGTGTACAATGACTGAGGAGAGGGGTTCCTTTTATCACAAGCAATTTAGCATGAAAACTTGCGTCTTCTGCATCTCACAGTCCTCCTTTCCTCCTCTGGGTGACCTAAGTTTCCCTAGATGTGTATGGGATGATGTCTGGGAATCATCTTGGAGGTTGGACCCATCAGAGGGAGACCCACAGGTAACAGCTGGCTCAAGATGAGGATTAGGGAAGGGGGAGGACGGTGGTGGAGCTTCAGACAGAATTAGACTTGCAGTTGAAGATTCTGGAGGGCTCAGTTATGGTTAAAAGGTATAGGCTATGAGAAGACACAAACCACTCCCTTTTAGGAGGGAAGGGAGTAGGGACACATTGTGTATGAGCAGCAGAGTGGCAGAGAAGCTGCTGCTTGTACTCCTAAGAACCCAAAAGAGCTAGCAGCATTTCCTTTGTTGTGTAGCTCTCCTGCAGCTGTGTACGATATTACAGCCATTATGCAGCTTGACCTTCAAGGGAGATTTGTGAGTGTCATGAGGTATGTGACATTTGGTGAGTCTGTCTAAACTCTTTTGGTTAATCTCAATTTGTGATTTTGTTTGCTGAAATCTAATTAGGCCTTTATAATATATTTGGCTTGGCTAAGAAATGTCTAAAATATTGAACTTTATTACTAATGAGCTCAAGCTAAATTCTAGCATGATGACAGTGCACATCCTAAGCCAAACTTCTCATCCACTCTGATTTGGTGGAGTACCTCACTTTGCACCATGTGTAATCATTTACATCTTGTGCAAGAAGGAAAATCAGGCATCTCAAAAGACAGCTATCTCAGCAATTCCCATTTGCGGGTCTACAAACCTTTATGTGGGTCTGGAAAAACTATTCATGATTCAATTGTTGTATACCTTTAGACCTTATAGGGA